TTGCTTGTCTTTGGTTTTGGTGAGTGTGAATATGATATGCCTTGGTGATTTTCTTTTGGGGTCTCTTCTATATAGGGTTCGTTGAGCTTCTTGGATGGCAGCTTTTCATCTTTCATGATACTGGGGAAGTTTTCTGTCAGCAGTTCCTCAATGATCCTTTATTTTACTTTTTAAAGAACATATGAATATGTATGTATACACGTACGTTTATGTGTGTATGTGTGTATCTTTTCAACTTAAAACACATCAATCTCTATTTTGCTAAATGCTAAGCATAGTGGTGCTAATTATGAAAAAAAAATCATAACCAACCACAATGACAACATCAAACATCTTCACCACCATCCAGTATTGGTATAAGCTACACTTTTAAAAGCATATGTATTTTTTTTTCCTTATTTGGTAATCGGCTAGAAATTGTAGGTCATTAAAAACATTTTATAATGGTTGTTTAATTTACATGTACCAGGATATGGATATTATTCCTTTACTTTTAAAAAAAGTAGCTGCAACTCTAATAAATGCTAATGTGATGTTATTTTTTTACAACTGTATCTGGAAGAGAAAGGTAAGAGCCCAGTGTTCTATTATCATCATTCTACTCTGCGGTAGAAATCATCATTCAGTGATTACTGGGCACCCAGGCATATGTAAGAGGCTTTCCAAGCTGCAAAGGAATTAAGGTATATAAAACACTGTCCTTGACCTTAAGGACTTTTTGCTTTATCATCAGTGAAAGCTCATTACTCACTCTACATTACGTTAGAGGTTCCTTTCCTCACCTTTTTGTGGTGGATACTACTCAGAGCACAAAGCCCTAGAATTCTCAGGGCAGGTACTTTCATACATTTACATTTTTAAAGACTACCTAAAGGCAAAGGGTAAGCTTGGAGGAATGTAGGAAGAACTGAAAAGGACTGTTGGAGTACCCTTGGCAAGAAATCATGAGGCTCCAAATTAAGACAGGAGAAGAAAGAGATTTGGAGATACTCAGAAGGTAGAATTCACAGGACGTGATGGGCTTTACGGAAAGGGGTAGGGTCAAGAGATTTTCCAGGGTTTAGGTATGAGTATAGGGTAGATGGAAACCCTGGTGGTGTAGCAGTTAAGTGCTATGGCTGCTAACCAAAAGGTCAGCAGTTCGAATCCACCAGGGCTCCCTGGAAACTCTATGGGGCAGTTCTACTGTCCTATAGGGTAGTTATAAGTTGGAATTGACTTGATGGCAACAGATTTGGTTTGGTCTTTTCAGTTTATAAGGTAGGTAAGGAGCCCTGGTAGACCAAGAGTTAAGCGTTTGGCTTCTAATCAAAAGGTTGCTAGTTCAAACCCACTCAGAGGTTCTGCAGGAGAAAGACCTGGTGATTACAGCTAGAAAACCCTTTGAGGCAGTTAAACTCTGTCACATGGGGTCACTATGAGTTGAAATCATCTTGACTGCACCTAACAACAATATTATAGGGTAGACAGTATTCCTTCTGACCAAGACTTGGAATTGGGAATATACGAGAACGCATAGTTTTATGTAAGGAGCTAGGCAGCAAGGAGAGCTTTCTGACATGTTATTTTTGAGGTACCCATACCCCACTGCCATCGAGTTGATTCCAACTCATAGCGACCCTACAGGAGAGAGTAGAACTGCCCCATAGGGTTTCCAAGTGGCAACTGGTGGATTTGAACTGCCAACCTTTCAGTTTGCAGCCAAGCTCTTAACCACTCCACCACCAGGACTCCATTTTTGAGGTATCACTGTCAAATTCAAGTAGAGGTTCTAGTAGATAGTTAATTATATGAGTTTGGTATTAAACAGAGAAAGGAAGACCTGCTTAAAAATGAGTATTGAATTTAAGCAATTAAATAATATCACTCAGGAACATGAGAGTGAAAAGACAGCTGAGGACGTAACCCAAGGGAACACATACACTTCAGGAGTGAGCCGAGGAAAAGGAACCTGAAAAAGTCTGAACAGCACGGTAAGATCACACTAGGAGAAAATGGCATCCTGGATGTCAGTGAACGAAGGAATGTGAAAGAGAGGTAGATTGGTCAAAAGGGTCGTATGCTGCAGAGAAATCAATAAAGCTAGAAACTGAACACTCAGAAATTGAGAGGTAAAAGGCACTGGTAAATGTAGCCAAAAGATTTTTAGTGCAATAAAGAACAGGAAGGCTGATCATAGGAAGCTAAAGAAAAATGAAGATTTTAAAGAAATGAAGACAGCTCATGCAGGCTACTATTCTTGCAAGTACTTGTCTATGAAAGGAAGAAGGGACAGACAATAGTGACCACACAGGGCTTCCAAGGCTGTAAATCTTTAGGAAGTGGACTGTCGCATCTTTCTCCTGCGGAGCCCCTCGTGGTTTCGAATTGCCGACCTTTCAGTGAGCAATCACTTTACCCACTGCGCCACTAGGGCTCCTTAATGATACATAAAGGGGAATGGAAAGTTCTCAGAAAGCTTGCTGGTGTTACGTTAACAGGAAAGACTGATGCAAGTTTACATGCTGAAACCAAAAAAAAAAAAAAAAAAAAAGGTTGAATCCCTACAGAAGAGGTTGAAAAAGTGATGGGATGAGGATACTAAGAACAGAAGAGTGAAGGGGGCATAGTAAAAAGAACAGCCTTGGACAAGACAAAGGACAACACAATAAGATTGGAGAGAAAGAGAAAAGGATGAGAAAAATACCGATAACTTGGTAAATACAAAGTAATAGATGATTTGCTAAGTTTTTTTTATTGTTGCTCTTACTAGTTAGCTGGTGAGGAAATCTACATCGTATGATAAGAAATGCAGCAGAACTCAAGAAAAGTATTAAGGGTTTGAAACAATTGTTGTGGCCCCACTATCCACTGCCTTTGCTCTCCCTAAGTCAGGTGTCCCTCTACTGTAAGCACTAGCTATATATTTGTGGAGGAAAGGCCATGTCTTATTTATCTTTTTAATTTCCAGGACCAGTACGGTATCTACATTTTATGTGAACTGTACTCTTTTTGGGGGGAAGGGCACAGTGGGCTTGAAAATTAAAGGTTAAATTGTAGCTGACTTTCTCCAAAACTTCTATTGTCAAATACCCAAGCTGGGGTCCGTTTCCCTTCATTTACCTGGACAACTGTCTGAGCTCCCAAATATACTGAGACGGAAGGTGGTCAGGTATAAGGAACAAGGTCAAAATAACAAAGCCAATCACAGTACTGGTTATTTTCATAAACACCAATATGCTAATGAATGCTTCTATATTAAAGTCTTCATTATAAGATATTCTGGATCTGGTATATGAAGTTTAGTGCTTGAAACAAGATCAATGTGAAGAACATGTCTTAAAAAAATTATTGGGGAAAAATAGACAAATCTTCATACAAAGATGCATATTTCCTCATGGTACATTCTGAAACTCACTTAAAAAAAATTCAACATTGCCCTTTTAAAACCCACACATAGATCAGTAGGCACAAAATATGATTACATGCTTAAAAAATCAATTTTTACATCTAAGTCATGCATAAGAGAAGTTTAGAATTGTAAGATATTTCTGTTTGATTTAAATGTAATAAGCTTCCTCTAGTTTTATTTTTCACAAACACTGGCTGTGACACATTATATATGACAATAAAGAGCATTCAGTGCCAATCTACTACCCAGCAGTGATGAGCATAACTTATCACTAATTACCTGCACACTTCTTACAGATGACAACACAGAGATTGATAGATGCCCAGTCAGGATCCTGGGCTTTACAATCTGCACAGCTCCTGTTGGATTCATTAAACCAAATCTTCTCAGCTACTTCATAATCAGAGAGAGTTTCTGCTATCGATTGCTGCACAGCTTCAATCCACTCTTGTTTCTCTTTTTCAGACTCGGCTGTAAAGCTGAAACAATTAACATTTCCATTATCAATCTTCCTTGTAAAGGCCAATGAAGCAGTGTGTTAAGTTTGCATATTCATTTCACTCACAAATTAAATAGTAGCTGAAAAATATGCCTTGCAGGCAGTTCTGGATTGTCTTTTCTGTTAAAAATCATCTAATTTAACAAATCTTTTTCCTTTTAAATTTTTCACATTGCTATGATTTTGTTTGCATCGCTTGAACCAAAATTAACACATACATTTTTCTGACCAGTGTAGTAAAACTGGCTTGAACTGCCGACCTTTTGGTTAGCAGCCAAGCTAACCAAAAGCTCAAATGATAGGCTATGTTTCCTGAGCACTGGTTATATAATAATCAGTAACTGTCTGGCAGAGTTTCAAGACTTTTGAGATATTTTGTCAAGCAAGTATGCCATGACAGCCTGAAACCAAATTATCAAAAACACCCACTAGAAATCGTATTTTTTTTTTCAAACTTAAAAATAGAATTTTTTTTTAATTAAAAGAATGTCCAGGTGGCTTTAAGAAACTGTAGAATCGAAAAAGTTTTAAGTGAATGCCATTGTAGCAGATTTTTAACTCATATTTAGGCATGTTCTAATTTATTTTAATTCTTAGTGTTTATTGGGTACCTAAGAGAAGGAAGAAAGCATTAAATGTTTGTTCACTCATTCAAGCAATGTCAACAGAGTACCTAAAATGTGCCAGGGGATGTGCTAGAGTGCTATGTATCAGGTCTATGGCCCACAGAATGATTCTTCACATTAAAATTTTCTGATGCAATACAGGTGAAGTCAGCACAACTGGACTAAACCAAAAGCTAAGAAGTTTCCTAAATACAACCAAACAGTTCGAGGGACAGAGTAGCAGGGGCAGGGGCAGAGGTCTGGGGACCATAGTTCCAGAGGACTTCTAGGTCAATTAGCATAACAAAATTTATTAAGAAAACGTTCTGCATCCCATTTTGGTGAGTAACATCCGGGGTCTTAAAAGCTAGCAAGCGACCATCTAAGATGCATCAAATGGTCCCAATCCACTTAAAGCAAAGGAGAATGAAGAATATGAAAGACACAAGGAAAATATTAGCCGAAGAGACAGAAACAGCTACATAAACTAGAGACTCCATCAGTCTGAGACCAGAAGAACTAGATGGTGCCCAGCTACCACCAATGACCGCCCTGACAGGGAACACAACAGAGTCCCTGACAGAGCAGGAGAAAAGGGCACAAAACTCAAATTCTATTAAAAAAGACCAGACTTAATGGTCTTACTTAGACTGGAGGGACCCCGGAAGACATGGCCCCTGGACTCTTTGTTAGCCCAGAACTGAAACCATTCCCAAAAGCCAACATTTCAGACAAAGATTACACTGGACTTTGGGACATAAAATGATACTTGTGAAGAGTGTGCTTCTTAGCTCAAGTTGATACATGAGACTAAATCAGCAGCTGCTGTCCAGAGGCAAGATGAGAAGACACAGAGGGTCAGGAGCTGGTTGAATGGACACGGGAAATCCAGGGTGGAAAGGAGAGTGTGCTGTCACTTTATAGGGAGAGCAGCTAGGGTCACATGGCAATGTGTGTATAAATTTTTGTATGAGAAACTGACTTGAACTGTAAACTTTCACTTAAAGCACAATAAAAAAAAATTCTAATTTAAAGGTGATAATGCACAGAAAAATAATGAAAATAAAAGATAACTAAAATCCATTGCCACAGAGTCCATTCCAACTCATAGCAACCCTGTAGGACAGAGCCGAACTGCCCAGTAGAGTTTCCAAGGAGCAGCTGGTAGATATGAACTGTCAACCTTTTGGTTAGTAGCCAAGCTCTCAACCACTGTGCCACCAGGGCGCAAAGATGACTACCATGTTCTAAATAATCCATTAAAAAAAATGAGTTGCCTACATGGGTTATATTTTTCCTGAAGCGTCTTACATCTTTATCATTACTACAATACTGATAAACTTCCTAGTGGTTTTCAGTCCCATGTAAGGAGAGATTGATTGGTCATAGGCAATATCTACATTTTGAGTTAAGGCTAGAATCTGCACATGTGAAAATAAAGCTTATTGTTCTTTATGTAATCATTTCTTTCTCAGAATTTGAGCCAGTGGATATGTTTTGACAGATAAAATGAATAAAAGATTTGATAGCATTTTTGAAAATGCTAAGTAATTGTTAGATCCTCAAAGGACTCTGACCTACATGGTACCTTGTGGTGTGTTGATTATTTCCGAAAATAAATTAATGTGGCTAAACTCCTAAGATACTGACTTATGCCTATTCTGTATACTAAAGTTATGGAGCCATTATAGATTAATAAAACATATTAAGGATTTTAACTTTTCTATTTCATTGTCATAATGAAACAATTACTAGAATACCATAATACAAAATATGTAATTAAATGGTAATATATTTGGATCAATAAGTGCTATGAGAGCCATTAAACTTAGCATCATTCTGGGCTGGAGTTCCTTATAGGAAATCAGCATGGAGAATTTAAATTAGTGGTTGATCTTAAAGGAGAGATTATATTTAATTGGGCTAAAAGAAGGTAAATAGTAATACAGTTTAAAAACATACGTGTTTTTAATTCTATTCCCTCTAAGTATGAGGAGATATGTTATATATTTGATGATTAAAAACTAACATATGCACCAAGTCTGCTAAGAAAAAGAGGTATTAAGAAAAGAAACTGTTCAAATCTCATAAAAAAAATTTCTTTGCAGTTGTGTGATTATTCAGTGTCTATTACACAAGAGTGTTTTATATACTGGCTAATAAAAGTAGACAATATGGAAATATGAGATAATTAAGTATCCAATAAAAGGCAAAATCATCATTACTGGTATAAAGAGAGATTACCCATGCCTTTCTATAGTGGTACAATTATAAATGTTTAAAAATAGCTTACCTAAAACTCCTATAGGGAGTGATAATTTCAAAAGATTGTTTCACAGTTCGGTCCACTTGCTTTACATTTGCTACATTCATAGGAATTATGGTAATACCAAGCCCACTCTTAAAATCCTATTTTGGAGAAACAAACAAACAAACAAAATTAAAAGAAACAGAAACAACAGATTTTGAAACTCCAATTATATTTTCTAATAAACCCTACTAAATTTTACTACACATATGTGTATGAAATATAATAATTCACTTAAAAAATGGATTGAGAGTTGTTTTCTCATTTGAGGTACTCACTTTCAATATACTTTCAGATAACACTATGCCATTCTAAACTTGACAGTTGGGCAATTGATAAAGCATGACAGTTTCTTTCACATGGAAGGTAAGATAACTAGGCCATAGATTTTGAACTACAGATGCCTTGCCTTTGAAGGTAAGCACTATATTGACCTTTATCCTTTCAGTAAAGGAAACTAACAGTTAATTAACCCCAACTACATGTCAAGCACTTTCCTAAGGTGGGGAGCCAAATGACACTGTGATGTTGGCATAAAAGCCATTTATGAAAAAAGGAGAAACCAAATCACAGAGATAGTTATATTACAAAGGCAGCTAGTTTTACCTGGTAGAAAGGAACTGAAACCCATGCTATCTGATTGCTCCTTCTTTGTTTTACCACATTACCTCTGCTCTATCATATTACTTTTCTCAGACAGAAACATTACTAGCTTTATGCAGTATGCAATTTTATCTCATTTCCAGTATTTTACTACATTCCTCTTCATTTTATCAGATTCTTAAAAAAGTTCCTCTAATGCCATTTTAGTATGAAAACTGGCATTTGTTCAACAACCACAGCCACTGTGTCCAGCTTATCTCACCAAAATTAAAAACTGTTTAAAAAGCTGGAGACAAAGTCAGCATTCTAAAAGCTTTGAAGTTTGCAATATATTATCTAGTCACATGGGTTTTTGAATTTATCAAATAAACAAGTTCAACATTTAAAAAACTATAATTAATCTGTGCTTCAAAAAATGAATTATCTATATTAACAGATCCAGATTAAATATGCTCTGAATTTCTAAATCAAATCATGATAAGAAAAAGTAGCTATACTGAAGGTAAACTGCAAAAAATATTGGTCAATTTTCAACAAGGAGATTGGTGGCAGAGACAGTGAAAGAAGAAATTCACTGCCCCTCTGCTCTTTATCTATCCTGCTTTATAGTCTAAAAGTAAAAATACCACTTTCCCATCTCCCTTGCAGCTATAGGTAGTCTTATGTCATAGTTTTGGTGACTAAAGACATACTGCGTTGGGCAAACATGCTGCAAAAGACCTCTTTAAAGTGTTAAAAAGCAAAGATGTCACTTCGAGGACTGTCATGAATTGAATTGTATCCCCTAAAAATCTGTGTATAATTTGGCTGGGCCATGATTCCTGGTATTGTGTGATGCCCACCATTTCGTCATCTGATGTGATTTTCGTATGTGTTGTAAATCCTTCCTCTATGATATTAATGAGGTGGGATAGGCGGCAGTTCTGTTAGTGAGGCAGGACTCGATCTACAAGATTGGATTGTGCTTTGAGGCAATCTCTTTTGAGATATAAAAGAGAGAAGTGAGCAGAGAGACAGGACCTCATACCACCAAGAAAGCAGCGCCGGGAACAGAGCATGTCCTTTGGACTTGGTGTTCCTGTGCAGAGAAGCTCCTAGTCCAGGGGAGACTGGTGACAAGAACTTTCCTCCAGAGATGACAGAGAAAGCTTTCCCTTGTATCTGATGACCTGAATTTGGACTTCTAGCTTACTAGACTGTGAGAGAGTATACTTCTGTTTGTTAAAGCCATCCACTTGTGGTATTTCTGTTACAGCAGCACTAGATGACTAAGACAAGGACTATGGTGCGCCTGACCCAAGCCATGGTATTTTCAATCGCCTCATATGCATAAGAAAGCTGGACAGTGAATAAGGAAGACTGAAGAAGAATTGACACCTTTGAAATATGGTGTTGGCAAAAATATTAAATATACCATGGACTGCCAGAAGAACCAACAAATCTGTCTTGGAAGAAGTATAGCCAGAACAGAATGCTCCTTAGAAGCAAGGATGGCGAGACTTCATCTCACTTACTTTGGACATGTTACCAGGAGGGATCAGTCCCTGGAGAAAGACATCATGCTTGGTAAAGTAGAGGGTAAGTGAAAAAGAGGAAGATCCTCAATGAGATGGACTGACACAGTGGCTGCAACAACGGGCTCAAGCACAGCAACGACTGTGAGGATGCTGCAGGACCAGGCAGTGTTTTGTTCTGTTGTACATAAGGTTGCTATGAGTCAGAACCAACACGACGGCATCTAACAACAACGTATGTGTAGGGTAATGCTATTCAGCTATATGCATCCCCTCCTAATGGAGGCAACTTTGCTCTTGCCCAAGACATGCTGGTGATGAACTCAGGATGAGCTCAGGCTAAGGTACAAGGCCGGGAGTAGCATGACTGGGCTAGTGGCCAAGGCGGAGGAATAACTTATCAACTAAAAGAAAAACATCTGGGCCTGGATATGTAGTCCCTGGAAGTGCTGGCCGCCCAAGGACTGGGAAGAAAAATAAGCCTTAGCCCCAGCTGGAACTGTATATAAGCTTCTGTCCCTTGCTAGGCAGTAGTGGAGCACTACTCTGGTCCAGCCGCAGCCCTGGGCTGTCCTGTATGTAAGCTCCCCAAATAAATCATATGTTCCAATCGCAGGTTCCGGGAGTCTTTCTTTGGTCTCTTGGCTACATGGCAGACTCTGGGTTCTGACACCACTGCGTTATCACTCAACAATGTGGAAGAAGGAGAAATCAAACTTTCCTAATCTGCCACACTTTAGTAAGTTTCAGCACATCAGCACGGTGCTGTAAAAACTTATTAAAAAAAAAAAATCTCAATTATCCACATCAATGCTCTCGCCAGATAATATAACTGTTGAACTGCTAGATAAACTCCCAATGCATATGACTGGGAACTCATACTCTCTTTTATATTGTGGAAATAAGGTAAGGATAGTAATATCATACAGTTTTAAAATCACTTTCTGGTGGCCTAGCTTTATACAGGGATAAACTCTAGAAGAGCATAGTTGACTGTATGTCATTCAAACAATTTTTTGTAATTAAGTTTTTGACAAGAGCTAGACATCAGACCACTCCAGGTTACATCCGCTGATAGGGAGCTAGCCTGCTGGTACTATATGTTACTAAGGGCAGAGGCACATACTCTGATCATCAGACTAACAGATGGGAAGACTGATGACCTCACATGGAAACCAACGCACCTACTCAAGGTTCTTGCCTGAATAGAGGGTCCCCTCATCTCTACAAGTGAGTCATGAAGTGCCTACATATAAAGCTGCAAGGTCTGTTAAAAAGTAAGTCAGGGTTGGCTCAATGTCCCAAAGTCCCCCAAATCAAGGCAAGGATGATTTCTTAGCTTGGATAATTACAACCCATTTATCAGCTGCTTGCCATGGCCACATAGTTTTGAGCAATTAGAATATCCTGCAAAATGTACACCAAAGTAACAAAACAACTGTCTGTGCTCTAGAGAGCTAATAATATGAAACAATTGCATTTTATAGTAAAAATATTTTTGGTGACATTAAGCCATTTTTTTCAGTCAGTATTTAGAACAGTTGTCATACATAGATGCTCATAAAAATTTCCTGTTGTGATCTCTCCTCCTATCCTGAGATTCTGATTCCATGAATCAGAGGGTAGGGCCTAAGAATCATTAGTTTTAAAAACAAAACTATAACCATACGATTCTCATACGTAGCTAATATTGACAAACACTGAATTAGATAGAAGAATCCATTGGCGAATTTAGACAGTATGAGCTTACAATATTTAAATATCAGGATATAAACACTCCTCTCTGCCTTCTGTACAGCAACAAAGCATGCTATCAGATTATATAAAAACCATCTGATTATACTGCCACAGTAGTCAAGACAGCCTGGTACTGGTACAATAACAGATACATAGACCAATGGAACAGAGTTAAGAATCCAGATATAAGCTCATCCACCTACGAGCAGCTAATATTTGACAAAGGCCCAAAAGTCCATTAATTGGGGAAAAGACAGTCTCTTCAACAAATGGTGCTGGCATAATTGGATACCTATATGCAAAAAACTGAAACAAGACCCATATCTCACACCATGTACAAAAACTAACTCAAAATGGATCAAAGACTTAAATATAAAATCAAAAACGATAAAGATCATGGAAGAAAAAACAGGGACTAAACCAAAGCTAAGAAGTTTCCTCAATACAGTCAAATACTTTGAGAGATAGAGAAGCAGGGATGCAGGGTCCGGGGACCATGCTTTCAGGGGACATCTATGTCAACTGGCATAACAAACCTTATTAAGAAAATGTTCTGCATCCTACTTTGGTGAGTGGCATCTGGGGTCTTAAAAGCTTGCAAGTGGCCATCTAAGATGCATCAATTGGTCCCAACCACTTGGACTAAAGGAGGACGAACACCAAAGACACAAGGAAAGTACTGGCCCAAGAGACAGAATGGGCCACATAAACCGGAGACTTCATCAGCCTGAGACCAGAAGAACTAGATGGTGCCTGGCTACCACCAATGAACGTACTGACAGGGAACACAACAGAGGGTCCCTGATGGAGCACTAGAACGACGGCATGCAGAACTCAAATACTAGTAAGAAGACCAGATTTAATGGTCTA